CCTCCTCCTTTAGTTTCTTGAGCACAGGTAAGTGGTAAAATCACTAGCTGGAACAAGGCCAATGGAGTTCATCCATTTTACCACAATTTGTCTGCAGGGTTGGGGAAAGAGGAACATTTGCCTGAAACTCAACAAAAAGGAAGCTTGATTCTTACTCAGCTTCAACCCTGAACTAAACCTTTTGTGATACCTGCAGGTAAGGTGGTATTTTTCTCCATTTGTTATTTTAAATGTAACATTTTCTAAAATCAGAAAAATCAAATTATAAATCTTTAAAAAAAGTGAAGAAAAATCTTTATAGTTTAACACACAACAGATAAAAACACAGTTTATTTGGTCTTTGATCAATTTTACATACATCTTGTGTCATACCTGCTTGTGTTTTCAGTTCTTAAGTTTGTGTTTTGTTATTTTACCTGGTCTAGTCCTTTGTTTTCTGTCTCCCTGCACTCTAAGCCCACACCTGTTCTGTGTTTTCCTCTGATTGTCTGCTCACGTGTGTCATTGGTTCCCCCTGCTGTCCAGTTTTGTATATAAGCCCGTTTGTTTTCCTTTGTTCCCCGCTGGTTCCTTATGTGTTGTTTGTGTTTTGTGGCTCGCCTGGTACCCTGTGTGTGTCCATCCATGAACAATAAAGCGTCGTCTTACCTGCAAACTTCGAGCTTCAGGAGTTCTTCCCCGCATATTGGTCCAACAGAAACCCACATTATGACCTCCTGATACATTATAATCCCAGCCTTCTAGGAAAAATACAGTCATGAATAATAATAATAAAAAAAGCTATAAAAAATAAAGTCCTTCTAGCATTTTGTAAATAGAAGTAATACTAAACATCCCAACAAGAAGTTCAATTTGATTTAATATGACAAAGTCAAAAAAATATTATGTATCTTTAGAGTGTATGTAAATATTTGTTTAACTTTTTGTTTCATACTTTTGAGACTCACAATTTTCAGGTTCTACATATGATATAGGGACATTAAAATGTTTTTTTTTTTTTTTTTTCCATAACCAATACCAAACTATTGGTGTGGGGCTGTGTCCAGGGCTTTGCACTTCACATAAAGAAACCCAATGATTTGTAAATAACTTCCTGGTTTGTGTTTCATTTCCCAGCAGATTCCATCATGTACCTTTGGCTCATCATCCTTGTGCTACTTTCTGCTATCGCAGCCATGGGTGTGCTCATACTTTTGAAGAGGATAATTTCTGGAATTGGTACATTCCAATTTTTCCTGTTTTAATGCAATAATAATATATGATTAATAATAATATCATTAATAATTATTACTATTTCATAAATGTAATAAATGATGTACCGCTCGACTGCAAAGCCTGCCTGTTTGCAAAGGGCCTCTGCAGATGTCCCAGATTTTGTCAAACACAAAGTAGTTGAGAAAAAGATCATGAGGAGATAAAGAAAAACAACATCAATGTTTTTTGATTAATACAATGAGCAGAGATCTGCTATTTTCCCAGTGACGATAATTTATTTATCAGGGACAACAAAAATACCAAAGCTGCACTGATATTCAGACAAGAAATCAAATAAAAGTAAAAATAGACGCTAGCCTGAAACGTTTTACTTGTGAATCACATGTTAACGCTGTGGTTAAGTCCTCGTTCTTTCAGTTTAGGTGGTTGTCAAAAATAACGCCCCTCCTGTCTAAACGCCACCTAAAGACAGTGATTCATGCCTTCATCACCTCGCACCTTAATTATTGTAACTATTTTGATTGGAGTGAGCCAGGCCTCCCTCTCACGTTTACAGCTGATTGAAAATGATGCAGCGCGATTTTTAACTGGTACAAGTAAACGAGAGAACATTACTCCGGTTTTAGCGTCTCTTCATAATAAAGTAAATTCCTTGTATGTTTTTTTTTTTTTTCCTGACTTGTTCACAGACCCTCTTGGTTGGCGCTTATTATTGTTCGGTCCATTGATCGGTTTTGTTCTGCTTCTGAACACCGTCTACTCCATCATCCAAGCGTAAGATCTGTAAGTCACAAACACATCGCATCACTGCCTTTCAGCTTCACTAAAATGATTTCAGAGCCTATTTCACAGCTTTTCTTTGTTGGCACATAGGTGAGTCCCCGTGGTCAGAGAGAATCAAATGAGGAAGAAAAAGCCCAACTACTTGGGAGCGGAAGCAACGCTGATGTCTGAATCTTTTCGTTTATCTTACTGTGTGACAAAAAATTGTAATATTATGTAGAAACATGATAATTTTTTTTCCTCTCTAATATGCATACATACATTTGTAACTATCAGGTTTACGTTTGTACCATGTGGGGACAATTAAAGGCTTCTGTCTTGAAAATGCTAAAAAGTGTATTACAACAATATAATGTCAGTAATAAGTAATAATAAAGGAAATGGATGGATATGTACAGGTCATGAGGACTTGGACGACTCCTACCTGAAACGTGTCTGACCTTTGGTTTGACTCTCACACAAAGATCTCCTGCTTACATTATAGAGATGTTTATATCTTCACGATCTGATCTGATGATAGAAAATGCACTCATTCTACAAAAAAAACACAATTTTATGAAGGCAAGGCAGAGAAAAGAGCAGCATTTTCCTGGAAGTCAATGATAAGGTCGCTTCATGTTTATTGTGACCAATCCTAAGCTAAGTCTTTTGTGATACCTGCAGGTGAGGTGGTGTTTTTGTAGCTTTGCTATTTTAAATATGAGTTATCATAAAACCAGATTAATGAAGTTATAAAAAATAGAAAATATAATTGACATTAAATTAGTAAAGGTTAGCTAAAGGTAAATACATTTTATTCAAAATGTAGAGATTACAAGTTATAGGAGGCCTCTGTGAGCAGTTCCCAGGCGATCCACTGAACATCAGACACCTCACAAGAAATATGTTCTGTCCAGAAGACACGTCAAGAAGAAGCTGCAAGAAAAGAGAGGCATCCTGTTTTATCTTGCTCCCCTGGGAGAGAAAACAAATTCCTCCGGTGTATAGAAAGAGGCCTTAGGATTTCTTCTGTCTGTCAACACTAATAATACAAAGAAATCAAGTAAAAAAAATAAAATGTATTTTGTTTGACTCTGTAGAAATGTCAGTAATTGTGGCACTCGTTATGTTGTGAAGAACAGTTATTTCACGTTTGATTTTTTTCCCAGTTCAAAAAAGTGATAGAATTACCCAATTTATTTCTTTTTACTAAATGCCCATGGGTCCTGACAAAACTGGTACAACTGAGGCCACTTTAACTTTTTTGTCCTGAAGCCACTTTGTAACTAATTTAGTGGTATGTACTGGATTATTGTCCCTTTGGAAGACTAATCTGTGCTCAAGCCTGAACTTCTTGGCTGATATCTTGAGATGTAGTTGCATTTGCATGTTCTTTGCTCAATCTGCATCTTCCATCTGCTGCACATGTAGAGCATGTTGGAAAAAATGGATAAAGTATGGAGGAGATTGCACTGCTTCATGAATTACCAGCATCCACAACTGATAGGAGCTAGCTACAGTTTATATAAAGCCAAGCTGTTTTTAACAATATGCTTTGCTTTGTGTTTTTGTCCTGTTGGAGATATATAGGAGCACTGCTATATATGGCCAGAATTAAACAATTGTCTTCAAAAAAATAGGATTCAATAAAGAGGTCTGGATCTAGACCTTCTGACTGCTCTGAACATTAATTTCAGCGTTCCAACATTCAGTCCAAATGTAACGACTTGAAGCTAAGTTATCTTCAAAGCACAACTCTTTTCTTCTTCAGCATTGCAAAATGAAAACCTTAAGCAATGAAACAAAATGGCCTGGCCTGAGTGCTTTTTGTATATTAGAGTTGATATTAAAGCAATAAAATAATTATACCACTGTTTACATTTTTATAAGCATCGTCTTGAAATGTTTGTTAAATGTGACAGATGACATAAAGTAACGAATGGCGATCATATTATAAACTTATGTTGGCATTTTGGTGTTACTAGAATTTTATTTTGTGTTTTTAATTTTTTTGCTTAAAATGTTTTTAGCATCTCAAGTTTCCCCCAAACATTTACATTTAATGTGAATGCAAATGGACAATAGAGCAGAAAAACCAGGAAGGTGTTAAAAACATTCTGAAAACAGCACATAAAATTACTTTTTCTACTACTACTTCTAAACTAGATCAAATACTAAAATGAGGCACAATTATTTGAAAATACATATAGGAGGAAGCTATATAATTGTGATGAAATTGACGCCTTTTGTGTAAAGTGCTCAGTCATCTCTATGTTGTGCCTTCATTTGAAGTCATTTGCACACATTTCTGGCACAATGTGATTATCTGTAATACAAACATCAAATCAACTACCAGCCATGATGAACACTCATCATTTTACAATATTTCCATTTCTCATAGAGCGCCCTCTAGTAGATTATGATTGTTATCACAAGCTCTCTTTCCTGCTTCTTTTAGCCCTGGGTCAGTTCAGGAGGCCAACACTTTGCTAGTGCTCTTTGAGGAGCTTCCGGCCCCTTAGATATTCCGCCTTCTTCTTTTCATATCTTTACAATCCAGATTTTACACGGCACCCGTTACGGCCGGTGGTTGTATGTAGCGTTGTGTCCAAGCGTGTATCGAGTAATCCAAGCAGATTTTTTGTGAAGTGCATATCAAGGCTTCTGTCGATGCCATATGTGGTCACATTTGAGGCCCCAAGAGCGGGCCGTACCACGTGACTGATTCAGGAACTGGTTTACTGGTTTGTGCATTATTCCAACTAGGGACAGCATAAAGCTGCTGATTCCCCATCACATTTAGTTGTCTTGAAACTCAATTAGATTGCGTTAGAAATCTAATTGAGTGTCTTTTTTTTGCTTTTGAATCAGCAAGAAAGAGGGGAGTATTGGAACGGATAGAAAAATGTTCATCACACCTTGTATGAAATTGCTGTTGCTTATATCGCTCACCAGCTTCATCTTTGCGATGTGAATGTGCCTGGATATTTTCTAAATCAGGTAAAATCACTCTGAACTGGTGTTCCTTGGTAGTCTAGTGGTTAAGATTCAGCGCTCTCACCTCTGTTGTCTGGGATCAATTTCCAGTTAAAGAATATAGTTTTATAAGTCATATTGGAAAAAAAAAACTTTTACCTCAAGAAAGCTTTACCTAAAGATTGCTAATTTAAGCATTATAAGCATAAGTAACATGAGCAAATTCACTTCACAACCCTCTCCCATATTTGTTTCTATTTTTCATTTTGATCTAGCCATTGTATCATGAAGAGTTCATATTGAAACCATATTCAGAATTTATTGGCAGCCCAAACACCATTCATTTATTTATTCAATTCAAAGCCTCACACAAGAAATACATGTCATTATAATCACTCTGACTAGTTGACATTTATTGTCCACTTGATGGCACAGTAGAGCAATCTTATTGCCATGGCTCACAAGTCAAATAATTGGATGGGAAGCCTCAGTGCTTCAAGAGGCTTCATCTCGCCATCACTAGTTGTATGGGCATGTTTTCTTTTTTATTTTATAACTTGTGTTTACAGACTGCTGATTGGCCTGCTGGCGCTGTGGAAATCCCAGTTTCTCCATTTCTGTCTGCTTGGCTGCAGGACTCCTCCTGCTGGAAATCCCCCTGAGAATGTTTCTTTTGGGTCAAAGTTAGAAACTTCTCTCACAGGCTACCTGAGTGATGGACAGTGTTAACAGCAACTTGTAGGCCAGCCCACTTACATGGTAGGCATCAGTTAGCTGATTGTACTGAGAGAGGATGAGGTGAAAACAAGTGACAGAATTTTTACAGGAGGAAGAAATTTTGCTCTCTATATCAACATCCTGCTGTTCCATGAAAGGATCCTCCTCGCTTCCTTTCTGCATTCCACTAACTGTCCTGACAGTGTAACCTTCCAGAGGGGACTTCTTTAGTGTGTCTTACTGACAGGCAAGGCTGTAGAGTTCACTACATAGTGTGTCAGCTGTAGCTCTATGGTGAAACTAATCTGACATTTGCTTATTTCTTCCAGAGCTGAGCTGGGGAGTCTATTATCCCTCACATGAGCAAGGTTTTGAGTGTTTAGACAGGTAAAACCTGAGCAAAGTTTTACATTTGCAGAAAACCTTGTTTGGATACTGTATGTCTCTGTCTCCACAATGACATTGTAAACTTTGACCTTGAAGTCAGTATCAGCTGCTCATCCTCTGCAAGCTCTCCGGGCATTCTTTTATTTTTTCGAACTCTTCTCTCAGGAAGGGCAGTCTACACACCAGCTCAAACTCCTTCTCCTCTTGTAACTTTCAATCAGCCAACTTCACAAACTCATTGGCTGCACACGTAACACCTTCAAAGTCCCTAACACACCTGAGACCCTCCTTTGTCCCCTCAACCAGACGTTGAGCTGAGATGAAATCCATTGCCCTTTTCTGCAAGTATTTTGAAAAAGAGGAAGTCTGCTCAAAAATGAGAAGGAAAATCTGAGCAGTAAGCACTTTCTCATCCCTCAAAAAGTCTTTTATGAATCTCTTTGCCTTGGCCCTCACAGTTGGCTGTTGTGTTTTGCTCTACAATGGTATGTAAAGTCAAGAAACAAGGCTCCCTGAGGATTCCCAAAGCACTCAAACACTTTACTCAGACCCTTATCCTTAGAACACCACCTGGTTGGCTAATGGGCACAGTCATTTGAATGCTTGCCCTTACTCATTTCTTTCTACCTCAGCATTCACTTTTAAGACTCTCTTACAAAATGGCTATATCATTAAGCACCGAATAGAGGGATGTACTTTCCACAACACTGATTTTGGACTTGTGGGCACATGGCTGATGCTTGGTGTTGTATCTTGTTTCTGAATCTGAGGAGCTACAAGACAAAGTTTCTCAGTTATGTATCATATTATTATTTAAATTATATCATGTTATGTTTTATGCCTCAACGCAACACAATTCATTCATACACATTCTTAACTTGAACAATGGTTTACGAACAAAGTTTAACATCTTGGCTTTCCTGTTCCTTTTATCGTCCTCAATTTACATTGCAAACAACGAGCTCAAAAAAGTAGCCAGTTTTTGCACATTTTTCTGCATCTATCTCCAGAGCTTTCCTAGCCTTCTCTGCACCACCCTTGCTCTTGTATGTGACTTATCCAGTGCCATGACTGAACCCCCAAAAAAAGAGAACACCAGTCCTTGCGGCCTAAACATTAAACCATGGATGGTCCTGGTCCTCCCAGTTAGCCACTGCGGGCCTATCTGGGAGGTGCTACAGTTACAGGAGCACTGTGTGAAAAAAACATAATTCGGTTCACAGTAGAGCCATCGGGACAAAGCTAAAACAGACCTGTTCCCAGGAACATATGTGGAAATATAACAGGCAGAACCGGAAATACGGAGGCCTAATATTTAGGTTGCATGAAACCGTTTTTCTTTACAATTGACCTTGCAGTAGTGGTCAGGAAACACACCCCCTCCACCTCCACTCCAACTTAAGGAAATTTGACTTTCTAAAAGCTAGCAAAACATTTTGCTATGACAAAATACTTCATCAGTTGTCTGTTTTATGTATGAAGGGTGTTCATATGACCTGGTTTTGTAAAATTACAAATCTTAGTTAAAGTTTAACAAATGCAATTTTGGGTTGCACTTCTTTGTATTTAGTGTTTAACCCTCCTACAGCCCTATGGCTAGGGTAACAACTTTTGTGATGTAAACTGGTTCTACCAACTGCAGTTTACTAAGATCATGAAAGGTATAGGTTTTAGTATTCAATTAAATTCATTTCAGTTTATTTATATAGCACCAATTCACAACACATGTTGTCTCAAGGCACTTCACAAAAGTCAGGTACATGCATTCCAATTAGTCCTAATCACTGAACAGTGCAGTCAGAGTTAGTTATTTATTCAAATTGGATAAAAAGTTTTTCTGTCTAAGGAAACCCAGCAGATTGCATCGAGTCAGTGACTTGCAGCATTCACTCCTCCCGGA